ATCGCCTGAAGCAGCAGGACCAGCATCGCCAGCAGGGACCCCAGCGGGTGCCTTCGCCATCTCGACGTGGTCAGCGGGAGGCGGGGCCTGCTCGGCGTCGACCTCGTGCCGCAGGACAGCTGCCTTGGCTTCGAGGGCGGCCTTGGCCTGCTGGATGGCCTCGCCGACTGCCCCGTCCTGCTCCCGCAGCACGCTCGCGAGTGCGCGGACCCCCTCCAGAGCGCTGGCGAGCTCGCCTGCCTTGGACGACTTGGTCCCAGGCGGAAGGCCGACCTCCTGGACCTTCTTGGCCTGCTCCATCTCCTCCTGGGCGGCTGCCAGCTTCCTGTCAGCTTCGGCCACCTTCCTCTTGGCCAGCTCCAGCTCCTCCTGGGCAACTCTGACGGCCTCCTCTGCGGCCTCCTGCTCGCCCCTCCTGGACTTGGCCTGCTTGCCGAGCCGCTCCACCTTCCAGAGGAGCCCCTGCAGCACTTGGGAGTGCGTGCGCGGCTTCTCCTCCTTTGGGGCCTCCTCAGGCGGCTTGGGCAGCAGCTTGGCCCTGTCCGCGTCCGAGAGGACCACACCACACGCCTCGAGCTGGGCCAGCAGGTCCTCCGCGCACGGCTGCTGGGCCTTCGCCCCCTGGGCGCCTCCGCCAGCGCCGCCAGCGAGTGGTCCTGCGCCGCTCTCCTCCTTTTTTGCCTTGGCCTTGGGCGCGGCCTTCGGCGCCGCATCCCGTGCGCCCGCAGCTGGAGGCGCACCCGCCGCGGCCTCCACTGCGCGCTGGCGCACCGACAGCGGGGCCGCCACCCCGCACCCGCGGCAGGCCAGGCGGCAGGCCCAGTTGCCGTCGGCGCCGCAGCGGCCGCAGCCCCAGGTGGGCTCCCGCGGGCCAGGCAGGACCTTGTCGCCTCCTGAGCCCGCGCCGCCCGCGCCGCCGCGCCAGGGCGCGCCGTTGCCTCCGCCACCGTCGGCCCACGTGACGCGCCGCGGCGCGAGTGGGGGCCGCGGCCCGGCGGAGCCAGCCATGGGAGCCAAGAAGGTTGCGGAAAGCGAGGAATGGTGCCCCTCTCTTCTGTATGGGAATCAATCGTAGCCCGCGCTCGTGCGTGCACGGCGCTCTGAAGTATGCACGCACAAGACCCCCCCCTCTCGGAGAGCCCAGAACGCCTCTCCTCCTCCTCCTCCTCCTCCTCCTCCTCCTCCTCCTCCTCCTCCTCCCTCCTCCTCCTCCTCCTCCTCCTCCTCCTCCTCCTCCTCCTTCCTCCTCCTCTCCTCCTCTCCTCCTCCTCCTCCTCCTCCTCCTCCTCCTCCTCCTCCTCCTCCTCCCTCCTCTCCTCCTCCCTCCTCCTCCTCTCCTCCTCCTCCTCCTCCTCCTCCTCCTCCTCCTCCTGGTCCTCCTCCTCCTCCTCCTCCTCATCCTCCTCCTCCTCGTCCTTCTTCTCGTCCTCCACCTCCTTCCCCCCCTCCAACACATGGTGGTGGAGGTGGTGGAAGACGGGCCCATGACTCGATGTCGAGTCGGCCGCACGTGGCCGACGGCGGACAAAGTCGGCCCGCGCGGCGCCCCGTGCGGTCGGGAAGGCGGACCGTGCGAGAGAGCTGCATGACCGCTCTGGGGTTATGGATGCCACGACAGTCATTGAGTTTAACCTGTGTTTCAAATGTCGGAAAATGGTCTGAACAGGTGTTAGACATGGTTAAGACATGTTTAACACGTGTCTTAGACATCTGGAAAGTGTTTGGCAGCGTGCTTCCTCTCCATTGATCGTCCTCCACAACTCTACGGTGGTGGAAGAAACATCCGAGTCCCTCTCAGAGGCCCCCTGTCCTCTGCAGGAGAGCCGAGAATCCAGTCGATGAGTCCGATTGGCGATCGAAACGAGTCGGATCGGCGGAAGTCGGAAGCCGAGTCGGGAGAAGTCGAAGCGGCGAAAATCGGTAGGTTCGTATGCCTGTGATAAGGAATCGGAGTCCGAATCGGAATCCGAAGTCGAATCGAATCGGAATCGGAAACCGTCGAAATCGAATCGAATCGAATCGGAGGAATCGAAACGATCCCTGCCTCCGAGAATGCGGCCCCCAGACACCCCCGCATCCCCGCGTGCGCGCCGCCGGCATGTGCTTGATGGACTCGGGCTGCTGGTTGTAGGACACGTCGATCGCCTTCGCGCAGATCTCGATGGCGGCGCCGTCCCCCAGGCCCTGGGGGTTCGAGGGGGCGGATGAGGATGAAGGGGAGGAGGAGGAGGAGGAGAAGGATGAGGGACAGGAGGAGGAGGAGGAGGAGGAGGAGGAGGAGGAAGAGGTCTACGGCCACCTCGGCCACCCCGACGGTCACGACGGCCACCGACGGCCCATGCCCGACCACGCTTACGCGGACGAGGAGGCAGACGCAGAGGAAGACGCAGAGTAAGGCGACGACGGCACGACGGTCACCTCTCAACGGCCGCAAGACCCACGAACACCCAGAACACCCATACCGACACGGGCGTGCAGCCCGCCCACGACTACTGCACTCAACCAGCTACGAGGCTCAGCAAGGGCGGACGTAGCCACCGAGGGTAGGGAACACCGACAGCGAAGACCCCCACGGACCCCAGTTAACTCGGCCAACTCCGACTGCCTGCCCAGTGCCGGTAGCTGGACCCACGGCACGGGCCCCACTATGCAAAGAGGCGCACCAGCACAACACCACCCACCTCTCAGCGACGACGGCACCGATCCCAACCTACGCACGGAGAGGCACTGCGGGACCACCTCCACTACCTCCACAAGGCTCCCACTCGGGTAAGAAAGGTCAGCTCACGTAGCAGGTTTTCCTGGCGCCTCCTGGCGCCTGGAGGCGCCCATGCATCGAGGAATAGGCCTGGCGGCGGGGCGGAAACCAACTGAATGCAGCAGATGTCGTAACCCCTCCTTTCCCTATCCCACCCTCTCATCCAGCCCGACCCACGCCCTCTCCGCCCCGAAGGGGCCCCCCTCGGCCTGCCTTGCGCGGCCTGGGCCAAGAAATCCGCCCCGCCTCGCGCGGATCCGAGAAACCCGCGCGAAGCGCCACAAGTTCGCGCTCATGAAGTTCTGTCCTCTTCTTCTTCTTATTATTATTAGTAGTATTATTATTCTTATTATGATTACGATTATTATTTGTATTATTATTAATATTATTATTATTATACTTATTCTTATTCTTATTAGTATTATGATTATTATTAGTAGTACTATTATTATTAGTATTAATATTATTATTACTATTATTAGTATTACTAGTATTATCATTAATATTATTATCATTATTATTATTATTAATAGTATTCTTATTACTATTATTATTATTGTTATTATTATTTTCCTTATTTTTCTTCTTTTGAGCAGGGACCGACCGTCCAGGCATTCCTATAGTCATACCACGACACGTTCTTAGAACCCAAAAATGTTCTAATAACAAAACAAGGTCCTTAAGAACATAAACCCGATGTGTTAAAACAAGACAGTCCTAGTCAAAAATGCTCTAAGAACATTTCGTGGGAACCACATAACGTTCTCAGAACATCTTAGAACATTGTTTGGTGTGGACATAGGCGAGCCGGGACGCTTCGCCACTGCTTGATTCTTCTTCGAAACGGCCGGTCCGCAACTCCGATTCCGCGCGCTGGCTCTGCCTCCTGTACTGGGTGGGCCGCGCCGGGGCCGCCCTGTGGCCTCCGTCCCCCGGTACGGACCCCCACAAGCAGGAGCGCCCAGGCAGCGGGAGGAGGAGGACGACGACGACGACGAGGAGGAGGAGAAGGAGGAGGAGGGCTCCCTCGCTCGGCCCCCCGGCTCGCCTGTCTTGCCGGCCCCCCCTCGTGTCGTCTCGCGGGGACCTGCCGACCCGGGTCCATCCAGAGACCAGGGTCAGTAAGGCCCCGCTGCAGGATCCTGCACCCAGACCCCGGGGGCAGTGCGGAGGAGCCTGCGACCTCCTGCAGGATACTGCGCCTCAACCCGGGCCGATGCGACCCTGGCCGCGCAGGGTCCTACAAGATCGGGAGCTCTGGCTGACCCCCGCTTGCATGGACCCCCGTCTCAAGGCTCCCGAGATGTTCCCCGATGGTCCTCGCCGGGAGAGCAGACGCACACGTTGGAGCGATGCCAAGTCATAATCAGGAAGGGCAGCAGAAGGACAGACTTAGGTCGGGCATGTCCCCCTAGAGGCGGAATTTTTGCCAAAATATAATTAAAACAAATACCCCAGCCCCACCAGCGGCCTCAGGCGGCCCACGTCCATACCCCCCCCAGCACGCTGGCCTCTGCAGGGCACGAGGGGGGTCGAGGGCTCCAGGCTCAGACGAGCCAGAACCGTCTGCAGCTCGCAGCTCGCAGGAGGAGAGGAGGCCGGAGGGAAGGAGGAAACGAGGAGGAGGAAGAGGAGGAGGAGCAGGAGGAGGAGGAGGAGGAGGAGGAGGAGGAGGAGGAGGAGGGGGAAGGGGAGGGGGACAAGCTAGGTGCGCTCGCGTCATATCTGAAATCCTACCCCTCCCTCCCATCCCTTACCATGGCGTAGATCCCCTACTCGCACAGTCTGATGTCGAGCAGGGCAATGATCCCGAAAGGGTACGCGATGCATTGTAGAGCACGGCATGGCATGGCGTAGAAGAGCACCGCAAAGCGTGGTATCAACCTAGCATTGCATTGCATGCCGTGGCATGGCACGGGAAATGACGCCAGCGCTGCAGCGGGAGCACGAGTCGGAACGAGCGGCAGCGCGGAAAGGAGGCCAGCGCTGCAGCGGGAGCACGAGTCGGAACGAGCGGAAGCACGGAAAGGAGGCCAGCGCTGCAGCGGGAGCACGAGTCGGAACGAGAAGAAGCACGGAAATGAGGCCAGCGCTGCAGCGGGAGCACGATTCGGAACGAGCGGGGCCCGAAAATGAGGCCAGCGCCTCAGCGAGAGCAGCATTTTGGAAAAAAACATGCAGGCGAAAACCCAACTCCGGGGAATCCTGTGAATAAAAAACAGTACGCGGGGGGCTAATACATTCAAACCGTCATCACGGGAAGAGGGAGAGTAGTATTCAGATTGAGTAATTGTGGAGGAGGAGGAGGAGGAGGAGGAGGAGGAGGAGGAGGAGGAGGAGGGGGAGGGGGAGGGGGAGGGGGAGCGGGAGGAGGAGCTGGAGGAAGGGGGTGGGGGAGCGAAGAGGAGGGGGAGAAGGGAGGGGCGACGAGGAGGAAAGCGGAAGGGAAAGGGCGGGCCTCTGGCTTCGGGACCTCGCACTCCCAGAAGGTCCAGGCCCAGGCCCTCGTCGGGTGCTGCTCGGCGCCCTGCCCCAGCTCCGCCGTGTGCCAGTTCCTGCCCCCGTCGGCGGTCACGTCCACGCGCACGATGCCCCGCCCGCCGCCGCTGTACGCGAACCCCCTCACGGTGATGTCGTCCAGCTCGCACGCGGCGCCCTCCCTCGGCTCGAGGATCATGGAGGTCACCGGCTGCTCCTGGAGGAGCCAGACGACTGCACAGAAATAGACTGCTGGGAGGTCCGCGCGGACTTCTCGCATCGGCGCGGGTGGACCCCCCTCCCCGCCGCGCGGAGCACACCAGGGGCGGCGCTGGAGGCGCGGGGTCCTGGCGCCGATCCACGAAACCTACGAGGAGCTCCGAAAGCGTATGCTTGCCCAATTCTCTTCGTCGTATTCCTGCACCGACTGGATCTTCTCCAGGTCCTCCTGCGTCCACTCCCGGACGCTCTTCACGGAGGGCGACAGGCCCTTGTACGAGATGCCCCGCTGCCAGGTCCCCACCGCCTCCTCATCCGATGTCCTTGGGGACAGGAACATGTACCGATACCGCTACTCCTCGAACCTCTCCCAGGGTGCGTCCTGACCACGAGTTAGAAGCGAATCCAGCCGTGGCGAGAGGGCCTCCCAGGAGGCACCACAAGGCGAAAACGAGTGAAGGGTAGCGATAGAGCGCGTTTTCTTTATTTTCGGCGAGAATGGGCATTATAGGGGGGGGAGCCATGGAGCCCCGCCGTACGCACGGCGGCAGTGCCCGGAGCGCACTGGGGGGGAGGGGCGTTACGTTATGGAGGGTGGGGTCGAGGAGGGGCTGGGGGCTATAATGCCCACTATGCCCAAAGCAATCAAAATAAAGAAACCAGCTCATATCGGTACGTACCTTATCCTCATCCTCCGAGGTCCTGATCTTGGTCAACCATTTGACGTTGCGCACGCCGACGTGCCCAGGGACCACCACGCGGATCGGGTAGCCGTGCTCGGGCGGCAGCGTCTGGCCGTTCATCTCGTACGCCAGCAGCACGTCCCCGTACGGGGACAGCGCCTTCTCGATCGGGATGCTCGCCTGCATCTCGTCCATCCCCTCGAAGATCACGTGCCTGACGCCAGCCTCCTCGGCAACCCTCGGCGTCATCAAGCTACTGTACATGAGCACGTCCCGCAGGAGCGCGCCCCTGAAGGTGGCGGTGCTCATCGCGCCGCTCCCCCACGAGATCCCGCTAGTCTCCTCGATTTTGTTGTACTCTTCCCGCCGGTTCCCTCCGCACTGGATCGTACACGTCACCTCGTGAGCTGGAAAGCGCGTCCGCAGGTCCTCAAGGTCAATATTTAGCGGCTTGGCCGCCTTGCCCTCCAAGACCAGGCGGTATTTGTTGACATCTACGTGAGGCACTGGATGATGATGTCGGATAAACCACAGATCGCTCGGCGTAACCCAGTTATCCAAGATGAGATCTGCGGGGAGCTCCATGTTGGCGGGCTTGTCGCTGTGACAGATCAGGGCCGGGTGGCGGTCTGTGGGATCCTGACGGTAGGGGTCGTCGTTGTCGCTCGACGCGGCAGCCTGCGCAACATCCTTCGGGTCAAGAATACCGATCTTCATGGGCTCGAGCAGCTTGACGGCGGTGCCCCTGGAAACGTGCATCTGGTACAGGCGCCAGAAAGGGTCGATGGCCTTCCCAGCCGCGAGCATGATCCTGCTGCCACCAGGATGGTCGATGATAAAGTCTGTGATGTCGTAGACCGAGTCCTTTGAAGCCCGAGTGTTGGCTCTGACGCAGATGGGTCCGCGGGGACAGGCGTAGCAGCACTTGCAGTGGTTGGCGCCTAACGTCACGCGTTCCATAATCAGCAGAACCATCGAAACCCAAGAAACCCAGGGCACCCTGGAGGCAAGCATGGTGGTTCTCAGCATGGGTCTCCATTGTAGTCTTAGGTCAGACATGTCCACCTACAGGTGGGTTTTTGACGAAAACACCAAAAACAAAAAGTATTCAAACATGTGTGTTCTATAGTTGCTGTTCTTTTAAAGAACAAATCGTCCACAGACTATCTTTTGACTATTCCTGCATACTTCTCAAGGACAGGCCCGACTTGACTGTAATTGGCGCTTGGAGGTAATCACTTGCGCCCTGGATAGCAGCAGCTGCGCGCGGCTGCTTCTCGCACGCACTGCAGCCGTCGCCCGTGCAGCAGCTCGCGCCCCCCCCCCCGCAGCAGCTGGCTGCGTGCTTCTGCTGCACGCAGCAGCACATTCAGTGATTGAGTGAACGATGCAGTAGGGGCCCGACCACAAGAAACCTTCCACAAGAAACCCAACCCTGAGACACCAGGGCGTCCATTGATTTTTGGTATAGGAACGTCGCGCTTTCCTCAACAAAACCTTCGAAACCCAAGAAACTCAGGTCACCCTGGAGGTAAGCAGGGTGTTTCTTCGCATGGGTCTCCACTGTATGGCGCCTCTCGCCGCCGACCCGTCTGCGCCAGACCCGCGCGGGAGCCGCACGATTCTCATGTTGAGAGGTCTGCCGGAGAAGCGCAACGGGGCCCACCAGCATCGGCGGCGAGCAAGGGGGGGAAGCGAGAAGGAGAAGGCCTCCTCAGAAGGCGTTGGGGCTTCCCAAAAACCCTCGCGCCGTCTGAGAAAGTTTTCCGTGTCTTCGGGGAAAGCTCCGAAAAATTCTAAGTTCAGGGGACTTCCGAGCCTTCTGGAGCGCGTTTCTGTGTTTGCGGCGATGGCGGGCGTCATGGGGAGGGGCGGGGGCGGGGGAGGGTATGACGTAACGCCCCCCCCCCACTGGTCCACCCCTTCTCACTTCCCCCCCTCGCTCGCCGCCGACAAAAAGTGGGAAGCGATACGTTGTTCGCGGGCGCTTGCTGGCGTGTCTGCGTCCCATGGGCGTTGCTGGGCCAGGCATCGCCGCCGATCCATCTGCGCCGGACACACTACTCCGGCACTGGAGGCGGCCGGGGAGTCTGAACCAGGCCTCGGGAAAAAATAGCAAACCCTCATGCGACATTCATCTGTCAAAGCCTCCCTCTCCCCCCAATGTTCAAAGTTGGCGGTGGGTCTGATGAGTTGCACCTCGACCCCAGTCTCCCCCGCGCGTGCCAACTTTGAGTTTGGGGGGAAGGGGGAGTGTTCAGTAATTGTTTCCCTCTACCGACTGGACGGGCCTGAGAAAATCGGCCAAGAAGGGAGGAGAAGGGGCAAATCCGCTCCAGATCGGCCGCCGGACCCGACGTTCGGGGGGGCCCAAACGCCCCCTGGAGGCCAAACAGGGCAAGACCCTTCCCGGACCCAGAGCCTCGAGCCTCGGCTGCCATCCTGCTCGCAGGAACCTGTACTGGGCCACCTCAGACCTCCAGCCGGCTCCAGCTCCAGCTCAGAGCCTTGCACCAGTCCCTGGCGCGCAGGGGGCGCGCCAGGGGCGGCGCCGGAGGCGCCGCCAGGGGATCAAGCGCAGATTTAAGAAATCTGCGCGGACCGTCGGCAGTTTATGTATGTTCATGCCGTGCTGCTCTTATTCGAAGAAGACCTCAGAGCGTGTGCCGCAGACAGGCTCGAGTCCGTGTCACTGTCACTGCGCTGCGCGAAGTAGCGCACCGTTCATGAACGACTGTTGGAGGCGGCTGGAAGGTCTGAACTGGTTGGGGCCACAGAAAATCTGCCAAGAAGGGGGGATGAGGGCAAATCCGCTCAAAATCAATTCCTGGACCCGCCCAGGGTCCATCTGGTGCAGCTGTTCACCCCGGGTTCGATTTTCACGTCCTGGGGCCCGAAAGCGGCCCCTGGAGGCCGAAAAATACAAAAAGAACGCCTTCTCGAACCCAGCGCCTCGAACCTCGCCCCCCTTCCTGCTCGACGGAGCCAGCGCTGGGCCACCTCAGACCCCACAGCCGACTCCAAAGCGATTGCACCGCCGAGGACCCACCCGCGCCAGACCCACTACAGACAACCCGTATCATAAGGACGCGCGACAAAGGTGCAAGGGTCTTGGAAGGCCATGTCGGAGCTTTTCGAGCGGGGCGCGGCCGACTGCAGTGGCCAAGGATGGACCGAGGAGGCGAGGATGCAGGGGTGCCCTCGGGAAGGTTGCCCATCCTTAGCATGCGGGTCCCATGCGGGTCGACTGTACCCCGGCTCAGATCCTTGTAGGTGCACCAGATCCTGGTCTCCGCGGTCGTGTGCAGGGCCACCTCCTTGCGCGAGTACACCGGCAGCGCCGCCACCTCCTGGCAGCACGGCCGCGGCCCACCCCACCACAGCCCCGCGGTGGCCGCGGCCGCCGCGCCGCCCAGCGCCGCCCAGGGCGACCCACGCGGAGGCCTCCCAGGAGGGGCCCGATCAGATCGGGCCGGAGGATACCCAGGACCCCTCGCGTTCAGAGACAATCACGACGGGAGGATTTCTGTTGCCACTTCCGGCCCGCGGGGGCCCTCACCAGGCCTCGAGACCGTCAAAAAACGACTCGGGATGAAAAACAGGTTCCGGGGAATGGGTCCTGACCTCTGGGGTTAGGTCGGGCGTGTCCTCCTGCAGGCGGATTTTGAGCGAAAATCTATGTTTGGCCTATTTTGACGTCCCCAGACTATTTTTAAACTAGTTTTGGAGATTCCTCCTGTGGAGAGACACGCCCGACTTAACTCTGCGGGTCGACGTCATGAAAAACTCATGGCGTCTGGGGTCTGGGATGACGGCCCGAGGCACGCGGGCGGCTCAAGACGGGGGGGGTAGGCAGGCCAGAGTGAGAGGCGTTGAGACACGAAAAGGCGCAGTGAACTCCGTGGCCGTGCTACCCCGAAGTTTACACTCAAGGTGGGGGGGTCACAGGCCTCCCAGACGAACCGTTTCAGACCCGCCACAGACCAGCCCTGAAAAGGCGGCCTTTGGCCCAGACGCCCCCTCCAGAACCCTCAAGAAGGATCACATCAGACCCCCAAGCAAAATCAGACCACCCCCCTTTATTCATTGTGAACTCCAGTGTCCGCCCCCCCCCCCCCGCCCCCCCTCGCAGCTGATGACCACCAGGGCCCCGGACCCCATCTTCCAGAGTTACGTTTCGAGCCCGATCATCACGCGAGGTTCCCGACACCGGGCGACAGCGCCCGTGGCGAAACCGGGCGAAAACGCAAGGATCTCAAGGGCGGCCATCACCCCCCCCTCTTGGCCGCTCCCGAGACGCCCCGCCCTTGGGGAAACCCAAAAAAAAAATACCCATGCCGCTACCCCCCTGGACCTCTCCCGGGGCGCGTTCTGACCAGACTTTCGAGGCGAACCCAGCGGTGGCGACGGGGGCCTCTCAGGAGGCTCAAAGAGGGGACAACAGGCGAGGGGGTAGAGGTATGGGTGCCACTTCCTCATCCGAGCCACTGGCCCCATCTGGGAGACCCCGGACCCTGGGTGCCGGCGCGCCCGCCGCTGGCGCCGCCGCGCGAGCCGCCCGCGCAGCGCGCGCGCAGGCCCGCAGCAGCCGCAGCGGCAGGGCAGCCCGCGGCGCGCGCCGCGCCGCGCAGCATCGCGGCGCAGTGGCGGGGGCCGCGGCGCGGCGGAGGGGCGAGGAGGTGGAGCGAGGAGGCGTGTCCGCTCAGCAACGACAGAGGCAAGGAGCAGCGAGGGGGTGGGAGGAGGAGCGAGAAGGAGGTGTGGGAGGAGCGAGGAGGTGAAGCAAGGAGAAGCGAGGGGGAGCGGGGAGCTGGAGCGAGGGGGCGGCCGCGCGCCCCTCGTGGGCCAAGCGGCAGGCCGGCAGTGCCTGTGCGGGCGCCCCTCCTGGGGTCGCCCTAGTGCTCCCCCCCTCCAGACGAGCTCCTCCCTTTCCTGCTCCTGTTCCGCCTCCCGTTGCAGCAGCTCCTCCTCCTCCTCCTCCTCCTTGTCCTTCTCCTCATCCCCATCCTCCTGTTCCTGCTCGTCCTGCTCGTTCCTTTACTCCAGAACCCTAGCTCCAGACGTCTCCCCGATCCCAAGCCCGTCACCCTAACCCTATTCCTAACCCTCATCCTAACCCTCACCCTAACCCTCACCCAACACCTTACCCTCACCATCACCCTCTACCTAGCCCTAACCCTAAGCGTAACCCTAACCCTAGCCTAACCCGATACCGAACTCTAACCCTACCCCTGAGCTCTAACCCCTAACCTCTAACCCCTAACACCTACCCCCTTATAACCCTCACCCTAACCCTAAGTCTAACCCTACTACCCTAACCCGAACCCCCCGACTCCCTATCCCTAACCCTAACCCCCGAACCCCCTAAGCCCCTAACACTAACCTTGGGCCTAACCCGAACCCACATACTACCATCCTAACCCTAACCCCCGTAACCCCCTAACCCCCGAACCCAACCCTAACCGCTCAACTCTAACCCTTACCCTAACCCGTCTCCTTAACCCTCCCCACCTCCTCCTAACCCCAACCCTAACACCCGAATCCTAACCCTACCACCCTAACCCGAGCCACTATGACACTCCCCCAACCAACCTAACCCTAGCCCTACCACACTAGCCCTATCCCCCTAACCCAAATCCTGACCCTACCACCCTAATCCGAACCCCGGAAAACCCTAAACCTAACCCTCAACCCGAACCCTAATCCTACCCCCCCCCCCCCTGGAAAAAATACCACCCCAACCCTAACCCTAACCCCCTAACCCCCTAACCCTTAACACCCTAACGCTAGCCCTACCACCATGACCCTAATCCTCTGACAGTGTCCATACCACCCTAACCTGAACCCTACCACCCAAACCCTAACCTCCAAACCCGAACCCTGACCCGAACAGGCGAATCCGAACACCCTACCCAAACCCCCCAACCCGAATCCTAAGACCCGAATCATAGCCCCCTGACCCTAACCCCAACCCTACCCCCCTCCCTAACCCTGCCACCCTAACCCTAATGCCCAACCCCTAACCCTAATCCTAGCCCTACAACCCTAGCCCAAAGCCTTAACCCTAACCCCTCACAAAAGGGATCCGTCGGAAAGCACCACAACAATATTCGATTAGAAGGTCTCACAGGCAGTGGGGGGGATCGAAAAGACACAGCCACAAAAAAATACTCACTGCGTGGAGCTCCCCATATGTGCATCGATTCGCATGGACCTGTCCGCCGTGAATGTCTAGGCGCAAGAGCTTTCGAATATAAACGGGCTTCAGTTGCGACTGTCGGGTCATGAATCTAACTGCGAATGAATTGGAGTGTGGATGAGCCTCAGTAGTACGAGCGCGCGTATGCGCTTGAGCCTGGGGCCTCCTGGGGCCTCCTGAAACCTACTGGGGCTTCCTGGGGCCTCCAGGAGCCTCTTGGGGCCTCCTGGGGCCTCCTGGGACCTCCTAGGGAGGATTCGTGCCCCAGGAGAGGCCCAATCTATAGCAACAGACGTACATAATAAAACATTGCGGATTGGAGCCGCAAGAGAAGGGCAGTATATAGGGATACACGTAAAACACCAAGGATCGAAAAGACACAACCACAAAAAAAACATAAACAAACGACGGCTGCAAAACAATCAAAAAAAATGAACCACCAAACGAGACACACAAACAAACAAACAAACAACAAAAACTGGCGAAGGTCCCAACCATATGCAGTTGTGGGTACCGTAATTGTAAAGATCTGCTTTGGTGAAGCTCCCTATGGGGCCACGAAGCGCTGCACTGGGCGGGGGGGAACGCTGTACTGTGTGGGTGGTGTGCCGAATTGGGCTTCCGGGACGCATGCGGACGGTCCCACTGGGGGCTTCGGTGGAGCCCCCTATTGGGCCACGAAACGCTGCGCTGCGCTGGTGAAAATGCCAAATTTCATTTCCCGGACGCATGCGGACGGTGGCACTGGGGCCTTGGGTGGAGCCCCCTGTGGGGCCACGAAACGCTGCACTGGATGGGTGAAAATGCCAAATTGGGCTTCTGGGACGCATGCGGACGGGGGCACTGGGGCCTTCACGAAACGCTGTACTAGGTGGGTGATACGCAGGGAGCAGGGGGAGGAGGGCCACGAAACGCTGTACTGGGTGTGCGGGACGCATGCGGACGGTAGCACTGGGACCTTCGGTGGGCTCCCTATGGGGCCACGAAACGCTGTACTGGGTGTGCGGGACGCTTTCGGACGGTAGCACTGGGAACTTCAGTGGGGCTCCCTATGGGGCCACGAAGCGCTGCACTGGGTAGGTGTAACGCAGGGAGGAGGGGGAGGAGGGCCACGAAACGCTGTACTGGGTGTGCGGGACGCATGCGGACGGCAGCACTGGGACCTTCGGTGGAGCTCCCTATGGGGCCACGAAACGCTGTACTGGGTGTGCGGGACGCATGCGGACGGTAGCTCTCCACGAAACGCTGTACTGGGTGTGCGGGACGCATGCGGACGGCAGCACTGGGACTTTCGGTGGGGCTACCTATGGGGCCACGAAACGCTGTACTAGGTGTGTGAAACGCAGGGAGGAGGGGGAGGAGGGCCACGAAACGCTGTACTGGGTGTGCGGGACACATGCGGACGGTAGCACTTGGACCTTCGGTGGCGCTCCCTATGGGGCCACGAAACGGTGTACTGGGTGTGCGGGATGCATGCGGACGGTAGCACTGGGACCTTCGGTGGGGCTCCCTATGGGGCCACGAAACGCTGTACTGGGTGTGCGGGACGCATGCGGACGGTAGGGAGGAGGGGGGGGGCACGAGAGGAGGAGAAGGCGGGGGCCGTTTCTTCAAAACGAGGACCCAACACCACAGGATGGTTGGGAGAAAACGATACGTCGTTCCCTCTCCCTTAGAGGAAGTCTTGAGATCGTTGTTTCGTTGTTGCTTTTGGTTGTTGTCCCCATGGCGTTGCGGGCGTTTCAAACTTCTGTGTTCGCTTTCTTTGGTGTTTTTCATGGGTTCTAATGGTTGTTCGAGTTTTCCAGTCCAGCTGGAGGATCACGAAGACGAGGAGAGCAGGAGAAGCACAAACACACATCGCGCGAAGGAGGTGGAGCAGGGGGAGTTCTGCGCTTCCAGAGGAGGAGAACGAAGAGGAGGAAGATGAGGAACGAGAGGGGAAAGAGGAAGGATGGCTTTGAAATGGCCCAAAAAGCCCCGCACGGGAGTCCCACGCTGGAACTTCGTGTACCAAACCCACGACCAGGACCCTCGCTCGCCCCCATGGGGCTACTGGGTATAATAAACACGTGTTGGAGGCCTGCAAATGGGCACCAACACCAACAGAGGGGGCTGCCTCCACAGGGGGAAGACGATCCTGGATTTCGGTGTTGGTGGCAATATTTCGGTCACCTCGGAAGAAGCCAGAACGTCACCACCATCACAGAGATCGGAATATTCTTCCCTCGGAGGAGGTGCACCGCCGATGTTGGTGTTGGTGTCAGCCCCTAGGCCTGTCAAAATGTTTCGGGCGGAGCGTTGGTACATCTTAGGAGGCAACTACTGGGAGGTCATCGTCGGAAGGATTAAGGAGGATAAAGCCCCATTGGAGGGCTGTACGCCAGAGTGGGCCTCGGATTAAGCGGGACTAAGCGGGATTAAGCAGGATTAAGCCTGATTAAGCGGGATGAAGCAAGATTGAGCCGGACGAAGCGGAATCAAGCCGGATGGATTGAGCCGGCTTTCGGACCAGGGCAAAATCAGAGTTTGACCCCCCGGGAGCTGCATCCGAAGGCATCGGAGCACCCCCCCTCCCGTGGGCCTGGTTCCCGAGAGTGACGGCGGCGGCGGCCCGGGTCGCGCGCACGGGGCGGCTGGTCAGGTCGGCCGCCCGCGGGCTGCTGCCGACTGGCGGGCGCGGCGGGACCCCGACGACGGCGAGGGCAGCGAGGAAGGCGACGGCGACGAGCGCTGCCACGACGACGGCGACGACGATGAGGAGCGGGGCCTCGGGGAGGCAGGGGAGGGGAAGGGGAAGAGGAGGCGGGGGAGGACGAGGGAGGAGGAGGAGGAGGAGGAGGAGGAGGAGGAGGAGGAAAGGCGCGACAACGGCGACCAGGAGAGGAGGACTGCGACGAGGAGGAGTGGGAGTGGGAGGAGAGAAGGGGGCGAACTGCAGGGCTCGCTTCGCAGCGGCTCGTCGTCTCTGTCCGCGTCCTGAGCATCCAGCCCTTGTCCTCACGAGCAACTCCTCCCCATCGCACCCCCAGGCATGTCGATGAGGCGGTGCGGGCGATCCACCTGAGACAACCTCACCACCTCCTGAGACTTGAGAACTACGACAACTACACGGACTGAGATCAGGTCCTCTTCAAATTTGGACTATCGCTTCAACGCCGCGCCCAGTTGTCTTGAACAGATGCACAACGCTTACCCGGATAGAGGCCACTTCGTTCTCTGATGTGGCTCTCGCCCGAGACCCCCTCCACAGATTATCAACGTATTGCAATGTTGCACAACAGCTTCACAGATGGAGGGCGTTTCATGCTTGAACTGGGGCTATCGCCTGAAGCTTTCCTCAGATTGGAAGACCAGAAGCTTGACAATCTGCACGTGCTGCGAAGCTGTGGAGCCTGGCTCCTTCTCTCAACGGGGACCGCGCACGCGACGTCCTCAACGTTAGGCGAGCAGCGACGTAGTTGTGCACGCCATCCGCGGGCTCTCGCTGGCACGAGTGGCCGCGCTCGAGCGCAAGCTGGCGGATGCTGACCACGCACGTGTGCGTACGCCACGGCCCCCTCGGGAGTCAGCGACCGTACTCGCAAAATTGTGTAGCAGCTACACGGGTGGGACAATCCTTTCTCCAAACGGGGCCGCTTTCGCTGGACACCCGAACTGAGCATGATGCCAATGACGTTTGGCAGGACGCCTTGCGCCTGCTGCTCCTGTCCACCGTTTCGTCGCGCGGTGGGGGTGTCAGACGTGGTGGGGGGGCGCAGTGAGGGCGCCGGCGCCTGTTCTTGTAGGGTGGGGGGGAGTCCCAGAAAAAGCATGCAAAGAGGGTCCAGGAGCTTGACAATCTGCAAGTGCTGCGAAGCTGTGCAGCCTGGCTCCTTCTCCGAACGGGGGGCGCGCACGCGACGTCCTCAACGTTGCGCGAGCAGCGACGTGTGAACGGTGCACGCCCTCTGCGGGCTCTCGCTGGCACGAGCGGCCGCGCGCTCCGGCGCAAGCTGGCGGATGCTGACCGCGCACGTGTGCGTACACGCCGCGGCCCTCCCAGGAGCTGGTGAACGCACTCGCGAACGTTGTGCAGCAGCTACACGGGTGGGGCAATCCTTTTTCAAAACGGGGCCTTCTCTCGCTGGACACCCGAACTGAACATTATGAATTATGCCGATGACGTTTGGCAAGCATCCTTCGCCTTGCGCCTGCTGCTCCCGTCCACCATTCCGTCACGCGGTGGTGTCGGTACTGCAGCTGTGGACGCAAAGGTTCCCCGTCTCGCACCCGCGCTGCCGTTGCCCGCCTTTCTCAGTGGCGGTCCCATCACAGTTGCTGGCGTTGGTTCCCCACCCTTGTCTTCATCGCCCCCTAATGCCACCGCTCACCATTCTCGCCGTCGGTGGTCCCAGTGCTGCAGCGGGCCCATAGCTCGCACGTCTTCCAGGGAGCATTCCCTGTAGTGAGAAGGGAGAGGTAATTAGGGACTCGTCAAGGAACTTGCGACGGGAGGGTGAATTGCAGCATCGTTTATACAGATTGGGCGTGCAGTGGTCTGCCTCCTCCTCGCCCTCATCCTGCAACTCATCATCATCATCATCATCATCATCATCATCATCATCATCATCATCATCATCATAATCATCATCATCATCATCATCATCATCATCATCATCATCATCAGCAGCAGCATCATCATCATCATCATCGTCATCGTCATCATCATCATCATCGTCATCGTCATCATCAGCAGCATCATCATCACCACCATCGTCATCATCATCATCAGCAGCGGCATCATCAACATCATCATGATCAGCATCATCATCATCATCGTCATCATCATCGTCGTCGTCGGCGTCGTCGTCGTAATCGTCATCATCGTCATCATCATGATCATCAACACCATCATCATCATCATCATTATCAGCATCATCATCATCATCAGCATGAGCATCAGCATCAGCACCAACATCTTCATCATCATCACCACCACCAACAACACCACCACCACCATCACCGTCACCACCACCACCACCACCACCACCATCATCATCATCATCATCATCATCATCATCATCATCATCATCATCATCATCATCATCATCCGCACATCTCCACTTTCGCTTCACGATTTTTCCGCGCACAAACACACACACACACCATCACCGTCCTCCTTCTGTCCACCGACTTCTCTGATCCTCCTTCTCCTCCTCCTCCTCCTCCTCCTCCTCCTCCTCCTCCTCCTCCTCCTCCTCCTCCTCCCAGGCATACTCTTTGTCATCCTCTTGTTCCCCTCATCGTCGTCCTGGTCATCCTCCCTTCCCTCCTCATCCCCCTCCTCTTCGCCACTCCTTGGTAGACCACGACTCCATCTCCGTCCAGCAGCCTTCTCGTCCCAGTAGGAGAGGGGCAGGAGGCGGAAGCTTGGGGCGCGTATGGAGGTCTTTGGGTTTGCCTGGAGAGCCTTCGGGTGCCCCAGAGGCTCCGGAAGGATCCTGGTGACTCGGGGAGCGGCGGGACACCTCCCCAAACGGAAGCACCAAATCGGTCAAGCTGAGGCGCCAACGCCGAGCAGGCAGGGGCCATGCGCCAACGGAGAGATACAGAGGCGAGGAGCAAGCCGATCGACTCGAGGCGGGAAGACGAGTCGAAGCTGGCGAGCACCTGGGGAAGCGCCAGGGTCGTCACTGCAGTGGCGGCGCGAAGCTGCTCCTTCGAAAGGACACGGCACGCGACCCGTGGACCCCCAAAAAAGTGCCGGGGAGGCGTGCCGGACAGGGGGCAAGCCACAGCTGCTAGCGGCGGCAGGCTGGCACCGCTGGGACGGCCTCCCAAATGCCGACGAATCGATCTGCGCCTGCTCGAGCAGGGTTCTAACATGCACAGAAGTCCTTGAAGACGGCCGAGATAGCCTCGAGACTGCCAATGAGGGCTCCAAGACGCCCCAATTGGGCTCCAGGACGACCCCCGAGACGGCCTCAAGAAGCAAGAATAGTCTAAATCCTATTAGGACACTGGCAATCATCGCTGGTGGACCCAAGCACGTGCTCAACGTGTGCAGAAGAACGGTTGCGGCGGCAGCCCGTGCTGCCGCCGCCCAGGGCTGGGGAGGCTCGGCAGGGACAGGCGGCCAATAGGAAGCTACAGTAGGGGCCCGACCACAAGAAACCTTCCACAAGAAACCCAACCCTGAGACCCAGGACGTCCAGTGATTTTTGGTGTGGGAACGCCACGCTCTCCACAGCAAAACTATCGAAATCCAAGAAACGCAGGGCACCCTGGGGGCGAGCAGGGTGGTTCTAGGCAAGGGTCTTCACTGTAGCGTTGGCACCACCCCTTCGAGAAGGGCTAGAAGCACAGGCGGCGGCTTCAGGCCTTTCAGAACAAGGCTGAAGGTAGAGGCACGCTCGGTGGCAACTCATGGAAGCCTCCCATACCCTCTTTGTTGGCACTTGCGAGTCGACGCTCAACGACGCCAAATCGACGCTGATCGACGCTGAATCGACGCTAATCGACGCTAAACCGACGCTAATCGACGCTAAATCGGCGCTATCTCAT